AGACCTCATCTCTACAATAAATCAAAAAATCAGCCGGGCATGGTGGCGCACGCCTGTAGTACCGGCTACTTGGAAGGCTGAGGCAGAAGGATCACCAGAGGCCAGCAGGTCGAGGCTGCGGTGGCCAGGAGTGGCCACTGCACTCCAGTCTGGGCGACAGAGTGAGACTCCAACTCAAAAAAAAAAAAAAAAAAAGAACAAAATCATGAATTTTGCAGCAACCTGGATGGAACTAGAGTCTATAATACTGAGTGACCTCTCACAGAAACAAAGATCCAAGTATCACATATTCTCACTCATATAATGGACCTTGAACATCCAATGCAATACTATGAGAAAATGACTGACGGTACTAGGAAACTATGTGGGGGGGAGGGAGATGGGATTAACAGTAGCAAATATCTGTCTGGGGATGGGGAAACACCTCTTATCAACAGGGTGCCTGAATGGAACGTAATATACCTAACCCTTAACTGTACCCCACAACATCATAATAAAAAATATTAAAAAACAAAAAGAAATAAATATGTTTTAAGCTCCATTTCTTCTTTCAATCACAGGTCAAAATGATCAATTTCCAAATACGGATATATCTACTAACCTTCATAGACCATAAATATGGAATCAATATAGTCCTAAATTAATATGTATGCCTGAAGCATATTTACGCGCTGTGAGCATCCAACATCGTCCAAAGATAAAAATGCAAACAGGGGATATTCCATAAATATCCAGGAGCTGAGGAGTAAAAATTTAGAGTTCTGGCAACCCACCAACCCTGTCTTACCAATCAACTCTCTGGGCTGAGCTGTCCTGCCGGATCCATTGCACGGAATGTTCTGGTAGGGAGCAGATGAGGCGGTGTTGACCCAGGACTCCGGGGATGAAAAGTTGAAAGAAGATTGGTTACTATGGTCCTGAAGCTCTTTACACTGCGCCAGACTGTCTTGGGGAGTGCCTGCCTCTTCAGAGCATGGCTGAACAGAGCTAGATGAGATTCTTCTTTGGTACAAGGGCCGACCAGGTCCTCTGGGCTCATACTACACAGAAAAAGCACATTTCAGAAGTCAGGGCACCTCATTCCACAGCCTTTTCACTTTTAGCTCCATAGTATCCCACTCTATTAAGTAGAAATTCTCAAGAACATTCTTTTGTGACTGTGAATCCCTCCCGTATCCCCCCTCCTACCCCTTGCCCACTACACACACACACACACACACACACACACACACACACACAAAAGGCAGCCTGGGCTCTGGACTTGGTGTCGGAAGACCTGGGATCAAATCACTCATCACGAAACGGGCAAACGCATTGGAAGAATCTTAAAAAAAAATTCACAAAAGATGAATGCAGCCTCTCACCACCATGCTAGCTGGCACACTGACAGCAATGGGTTCCTAGAATACTTACCTTGTGAGGGAAGCCTGTACTACGAGAGGCCCACCCTCCAAAAAATAATCCCGGTTTTGGGGTCTCCCCTTCTATACTGCCTAGAAACTTCTTATTGAAGTATTACAGATATCAAGAAGAAAACTTAGGGAACACCCTCCTGGACATTGGAAGAGGCAATGAATTCATGGCCAAGTCTTCAAAATCAAATGCAGCAAAAGCTAAAACTGACACGTGGGACTTTATCAAATAAAAGTTCTTGTGCAGCAAAAGAAACCACCAAGAAACTAAAGACACAACCCACCAAATGGGAAAAAAAATATTTGCAAGCTATACATTTGAAAAAGTCCTAACATCCAGGATCTAAAAGGAAATCAAATGAATAGACAGGCAAAAAAGCAAATAACCCCATTAAAAAGTGGGCAACGGTTATGAACAGATACTTCTCAAAGGAAGAAATTCAAGCTTTTTCATATGAACATATGACAAAATGCCCAGCCTTACTAATTATCAGATAAACGCAAATCAAAATTACAACGAGATACTACCTAACACCAGTCAGGATGGCTATCATTAAACAGTCAAAAAACAACAGGTGTTGGTGAGGCATCCGTGAAAAGGGAACGCTTCTCCACTGCTGGTGGTAATGTAAGCTAGTTCCACCTTTGTGGAAGGCAGTGAGGTGTTTTCTCAAAGAACCAAAACTAGAGTGACCATACAATCCAGCAATCCCATTTCTGGGAATACACTCTGAGGAACGTAAATCGCTCTACCAAAAGGGTACCAGCACATGCATGCTTACTGCGGCACTATTCACAATAGCAAAAACATGGAACCAACCCAGATGTCTGTCGAAAGTGGACTGGATTAAAAAAAAAAAAACATGGTACATATGCATGATGGAATACTACACACAAAGAAAAACAAAATCATGTCCTTTGCAGCAACATGAATGCAGCGGGAGGACCCTCATTCTAAGTGAACTATCATGGAAACAAAAAACTGAAAGCTGGCTCTGGCCTTGATCACTAGTAACAAGAGCACAAAGGCGGGGATAAAAGATGCTGGACACCACTAAAGCAGGGAGGAAGCGAGGAGGGACAAGGAGCACACCACCACATACCAGGTACCAACCAGCTCCACGACCAGGGGGAGAGAGGGCCCGCTAGAAGCCCAAACCCACCTGCACAAAATTTACTTACCTAGTAAACCCTCACATATATCCCACAACCAAAATAAAATAATACAGATATCTGCTATGTCATGAATTTTTATAACAGCATATTTAGTAGCCATATTTTTCTTCACTGACTAATCCTTTTAATTTTCCCAGATTTGAAAAAGAAATCCTTGATTATAGGGGTCTACAAACTTATTTCAACTTAGTTCCCCATAAAGTTATCATCTTATGCTCAAAGCACACAGAGTTCTAAAGAGAGGGGAGGGGAAGGGTGGGAAGAGAGAAACTAGGATAGAGAAAGGAGAGGAATCTCACCATAAGACTAAAAACAATGTTAACAAGCCCAGATGTGTGATGAATAAGCTTCAGTTGGTAGCAGGAATATCTGTGGGTTCATATGATGTAATCTACTGAAAAGCCCTTGATAAGTTATATAGCGATTTTTTTAAAAAGCGTGATTCCTAGTTAATAATGGCAACTGACTCAAGATGCCACTAAGATAACAATAAATTAATATAAAAGATATACAATAAGGACCATGAGACTGGCCATCAATAGAGGACACATTTCCAGAACAAATGGAGACTTGGTGGAGGAATAGTGTCTGAGGAAGAAGAATACCACCCAAGAAAGGAAACAATTCCCAGAGCAGAATTCCACAGAGGCTTGGGCCTCAGGAGACCAGCACAATGGAAGGTGAAAGGAGGCTAAAGGAATAAAACTAGAGGGATTAACTAAAAGTCTTATACAGGAAACAGCAGATCCTGATTACTGAATATCTTTTATATTAATTTATTCTTATCAGAGTCTTGAGCCAGTTGCCATCATTAACTGGGAATCGTGCTGTTTAAAAAAGATTATTACATGATTTTCCAAGGGCTTTTCAACAGATTACTTCATATGAATCCATAGATATTACTGCTGCAAACTAAACAGCATTATACTCCTCCCCACAATGACAGTGGGATACAGTTAAGTACCTACAATACAGACACAAACTAAGGAGATGGACAAACAAAAATCTGAAAAGAGTGGAAAACTCCAGATGGATTCAAGCATGGAGAAGTCCCCAGGGAAAGGCCTGCCAGGCGCTGCATCCTGCAACATAAACAAAACTCCCAAGTTGTTTTCTAGTGAGGTTTTTCAGTGACATCATAATCAAGGATTACCAGACATTTAATATAGGACTGCAGCATAAATCACAGATAAACAAACTGGAAAAAAGGGAGGCTCAGAAGAGAAATAATACTGACGTTTTAAAATACTGCTTTAGTTCTTACTAAAAATCTAAAACAAAACAACAAACATTCTTACTGGTATTCTCAGATAAGACACAGCATTTGTAAAACAAGATGTTATGTAAAGGAAAAGTTTGCAAATAAAGACCTCTTGAAAATGTAAAACTTGAAGGCTCAAATATTAAATGCAATAGAAGAACTTGTAGATAAAAATTGAGGAAATCTTTCTGAAAACAGAAAAAAATACAAGGATATCATCAAGTACAAGAAAAAAAAAGATCTGGAGACTCTAGGGGGTCCAGCGTCTACCTTATCAACAGAAGTTTCAGAAAGTGAGACACAGAGAAAAGAGGTAGTATGAAATTAGCAAAGAAATACTGTAAAGCAGTTTCATATAGCTGAAGGACATGAGTCTTTCCCTAAAGTCATGTTGTCCAAAGACCTTTCTGTGATGATGATGTTCTGTCTGCGTTGACTGATAAAGCCACAAGGAACTAATTAATGGGCAACTGAAACAAGCTTAGTGGAATCCAGGAATGCCATTTTAAATCTTACTTCATTTCAAATTCTGCCTAGTCCATCAGGAATTCCTCTACTTCCTTTGCTTCTCCATGAGAAACTCCTCATCTGTTTATGTTTGATCATAAGTTTGCAAGTCAGTCATATCTTCAGGTTCCACTTCTTTTTTTTTTGAGTTGGAGGCTCACTCTGTCACCCAGACTGGAGTGCAGTGGCCGCTCCCGGCCACCGCAGCCTCGACCTGCTGGGCTCCGGCGATTCTTCCGCCTCAGCCTTCCGAGTAGCCGGAATTACAGGCATGCGCTACCACACCCAGCTGATTTTTTGATTTATCGTAGAGATGAGGTCTCGCTGCCCAGGCGGGTCTCGAACCTGCGGGCTCAGGCCATCCACTCACCTCAGCCTCCCAAAGGCGTGGGATTACACCATGCCCGGCTAGGTTCCACTTCTAATTCTCATTTCCTCACCATTTCCATCACATCTGCTGTCACTTCCTCCACTGAAGTCTTGAGTTCCTCAAAGACACCCATGACATTTGGAATCAACGTGTTCACATTTTGACCTCTTCCCACAAATGTCTGTTTTGTTTGGGTTTTTGGGGTTTTTTTGAGTTGCAGTCTCACTCTGCTGCCCAGGCTGGAATGCAGTGGCACACTCATGGCTACTGCAGCCTCGACCTGCTGGGCTCCGACGATCCTTCCGCCTCAGCCTTCCAAGTAGCTGGAACTACAGGCATGCACTACCACGCCCAGCTTATTTTTTGATTTATTGTAGAGACAAGGTCTCACCAAGTTGCCCAGGCTGGTCTTGAACCCCCAGGCTCAGGCAATCCTCTCACCTTGGCCTCCCAAAGTGCTGAGATTACAGGCTGAGCCACCATGCCCGGCCACAAAAGTTCTTAATGGCATCTAGAACGGTGAATGCTTTCCATAAGGTTTGCAATTTACTTTAATCTGATCCATCAGAGGAATCACTACCTATGGCAGCCTTGTGAAATGTATTTCTTAAATAAGACTTGAATATTGAAATGATTCCTTGATCCACGGGCTATAGAACGGAGGTTGTGCTAGCAGGTGTGAAAACAACATTCATCTCTTTGTGGGTGACTAGGTGCACTGTCAATGAGTAGTAATATTTTGAAAGGAATCTTTTTTTCTGAGCAGTAGGTCTCAACAGTGGGCTCAACATATTCTGTAAACCATGCCGTAACAGATGTATTGACATCTAGGCTTTGTCATTCCATTTATAGAGTACAGGCAAAGGTGATTTAGCATAAATCTTCAGGGTCCTTGTGTTTTCAGAATGGTAAATAAATATTGGCTTCAACTGAAGGTCACCAGCTGCATTAGCCCCTAACAAGAGTCAGCAAGTCCTTTGAAACTAGGCATTGACTTCTCTCAAGCTGTAGAAGTCCTAGCTGGCTATTTTGTTTACCTTGAAGATCTGTTACTTAGTGTAACCTCCTTCTTCAATTATCCTCGCTAGATCTTCTGGATAACTTTATTGCAGTTTTTCCATCAGAACCTGCTGCTTCACCTCGTACTTCTGTGTTCCGGAGATGGCTTCTTTCCTTAAACCTCACAAACCAACCTCTGCGAGCTTCAAAGTTTGCTTCTGCAGCTTCCTCTCCTCTCTCAACACTTACAGAACAGAAGAGAGTTAGGGCCTTGCTCAGATTAGACGCTGGCTTAGGGGTGGCTGGTTTAATCTT